GGGTTGTTTTGTTTTTAATTTTTAAACCCTTCATCCTTAGTTTCAATCTTACAAACCCCAGGCATAAGTCAGGGGCTCCTCCAGACATTGCTAAATTAGATTTTCTTCTGGGCATCTTCAAGAAGCAAAGGAATAATTATACTTACTGCTTTGTCATTCCTCCTCAGACTTGTAGTCTCCTGTTCTGTCCCAGCAGGTCTTGCTAATCTGGAGGGAAAAAAAGAGCACACTGCTGTCATTCCATCTTCCAAGGTCTAGCTGGATCATGTCTGTGCCCTCAGGAGGACCAGGGGCTATTTAGTTTTCTTGAACTCAGTTGTTTTATACGCAAGCAGCCTGAAGAGATATGGCATCATTGCCAGAATCATTTCTACCACAGTATTCATACACCCCCTAACACATCACTGCACTTGCTGAATTTACCCTTGCTTCCCTTACCCCCAGTAAGGTGATGTGAGGCTGCTCCCATTCTACACATGGGGAACGGAGCAAAAGTAAGAGACTAAATGCTGGGTTTATGTGTGGTTACACAAGAAAGATCAGCCCATTATCAGATAAGGGTATCAAGCATGATCACACAAGTCACTGTCATTTCTTTTACATCTTCCCTTTACTGCAGGTTTGCTATCACCTGTCTTTTCCCACTCTAAATTCAAGGTATTTGCCCTGAGCACCCAAAGAGTTAAATGAATATGAAGTGTTATCTTCTCATTAGTGTGACACATTAGTTTGACAGGTGCCCAAGAGCATAGTCTGGGAGGTGTCAGTCAGTGCACAGCACTATTTATGGCTCAGTATTAAAAAGATATAAATAAATAGGGACTTTGAAGTGGAACTAGCTAAACTCCTCAACAGAGAAACCTGAGACAGGTACAGGGCCAAGTAGCTGGAATGGGAGTTTTGCAAAACTGGGAACTGTTTGAGTCCTATCAAATGCAGCTTGAACTAAGTGACAGTTCCCAAAGCCAACTCAGGATTAGATCTGTGCAGAAATAAATGGTGTGAAGGCTGGCATTCCCTCGCTGCCTTGCAGGGCCTGAAGGATCAGAAGGGGGCAGAGT